GCGACCAAATTCGGAGGGCGGAACGGATTAACCGGATTTACATTGAACCCTATGGGGAAATTTGCGTCGGGTTACGACCAACTCGGGATACACCCAGAGTCACGGAACGGAGTAAGTTCGTATCCCGAGGTACCACTGTACTTTAATATTTAATGTAGATTAGGAAGTAACAGACAACCTCTACTGAAATGTTGAGGTCTTACTAGGGTTTGTTTGTTTGATCCTGGCTTTGCCATTTGGAGGAATGTGGCTTCTGGTCATTATGTATAGCTGTGCACCCATCCATATATACAAGCATGCCATGTGACATAGTTGTAAAGAAATTTCTAGCATTGATTTCAGTTGGAGATGGCAACCGTAGACTGACATGATGGGGAAGCTGAATATTAAACTGATTTTTTATATGTGCCTATAATTTGCTGATAGCTATACTTCCTTTTTTGTGGGGAGAGGAGATCATCTTTTAGTGTAAATATCTAATGAAGCCTTGAGATCTTCCATCTGTCCAATACAAAATACTGATGAAGCATTTCATCAATATTGTCCATACCAAAATAGAAACAACAAAGAAAGCCTGAGAAATGATTTGTGATTACTTTTAATCAGCTGAAGGGAGCATAAATACCAAAGATGTATCCTTGGCCTAGCTTGCAGATATTCCTTGTGACCCACTGGCTAAGCAAAAGTCTTGATGGGAGCAGTTGCACATATGCAGGTTCCATACTGTATATTTGGAACATATGATTTCATTGATATCCCAGTTGTGTACAGAAACAATTGTTAAGTGTCTGTGGGAGGGGCAAGGAGGGAAAAGATTTATCTGGATGGGTTGAGACAATGTGGCTCTTTCTAAGCTTAAAATATGTATTAAGGAACAAAGAAGATCAAGTAATAATTAGTGATAACCACCCAAGTTCTGTTTTAAGGCTTTGATTTTTAAGAACCACTTTATGAGTCAATTATTGCTTGTAATATCTACAGTATAACGAGATACTGGTTATATAGTCCTGCTTTATAGACTACATCCCAGATTAATTTGTCTTATTTTTTAAAAAATAAATGGCATGCAGCTTTCTTGCATAGTGGCATTCAG